TGGGTTCTGGTTCTAGTCCCATCTACTCTAATTTTTCTTTTTTTAATTTTTAAATATGTTTTATTGGAAAGTCAGATTTATAGAGAGAAACATATACAGAGAGAAAGTTCTTCCACCCACTGGTTCACTTCCAAAGTGGCTGCAACAGCCAGGAGTCTCTTCCGGGTCTCTATTTTGGGTACAGGGTCCAAAGGCCCTGAGCTGTCCCCAGTCGCCTCCCCAGGTATCAGCTGTACTTTCAATCCAGCTCTCTGCTTATGGCCAGGGAAGGAGCAGAGGTCGGACCAGGTCTTTGGATCCCTGGACCCACATGGGAGAATGGGAAGCAGCTCCTGGCTCCTAGCTTCAAATCAGCGCAACTGTGGCAACTGTGGCCACACGACCTCTACTTTAGCCTCTCCTGCTATATCTGAAAACCTGCCTTTCAAATAAAAATAAATAAACCTTTTTAAAAATTACACTGAACAGACAATTTATCAACTTTGGTCTCACGTTGCCATGATCATAAAGGATAAATTCTGCTTTCTAACACTTTTCACTTTCAGTTTAAATGAAAAAAAAAAAAATCCCTAATGCCACCTTCATATATTAACTATCTGGTTTCTTTTTGTTTCAAGCAGAGTGATAGGTTACTAAGAATGATCAAGTAACTTCTTTTAAAAAATTCTGGTCTAAAAATGGAGAATGCTTCAAATGAAAAAGTCAAAACTTCTGTCACTAAAAGAAATTTTATTTGGATAATGAAAGTGTGCAAAACACTGGAATATCTAAATTTTAAAATTCCTGTTACTTGAAAAACACAACATATATTTTAGGGAAGTGATGAATTAATTCATATTCAAACCAGAAAGACAACTGCAGCATACGGGATAGACTCAGATATTTCCTTGTCAATAATGGTCCCCAGTGTTTGAATGAACCCTCTTTACATGTGCAAGCCACCAAATTGCATGCCAAACCAAGGTAATGTAAACCACCCTGCACTTATGAAGAACTCAGGAAACTAAAGGTCACCTCCCAGATTATTTATGCTTTATAAATAACACTGAAGCCTAAAATCAAACTATAAGTACAAGAACCTATGGGAACACTGTGACTCCTGGATACAGAATACAGAGCCTTTAGATGTTGGTATAAGTTCTTCAGTGTTACAAAAATCAAAGGTGGCTCCTCCCTGTTTCCCAAGCAAATTTGGACTACGGTTTTGTGCCTGTGTTATTTCCATTTCAGCCTTCTGTGGCAAATGCTTATTTGAGGTACTTACTGGTCAAAGTTTTTGAATCATACCTTCAGATTGTGTGTATGTGTGAGTTGAAATAAAACTCCATGTGAATGTTATTCTAACAGCACAGACTTGCTGAGAAAAGTAAGAAAACAGATCTGTAAGAACACGCAATGGAATGTGCGTGGTTTGGCTGGAAGGCTCACAATCAAGAACAAATTACACCACATAATGGCTGGAAAAGTTAATTAAGCCAACCTCACCAATAACTTCAGCAATAACAAACCTTTTTTTTGTTTGTTTGCTTGCTTTCTTTTAATCATGAAATGGTGGATGGCAAAGAAACTGCGTCTGTGACATTCATTTGGTTTTCAATACTGGAATCCTGTTAAGCTGTTCAGTTACAAATGATTTTGGAGCTTTGTAAAGAAAGTGTAAGACACCTTTCAGAAACAGGAGCAACTAACACCACCTGGTACATTTTCCATTTTGTGAATGGCATCCAGGCATTTCTAAAATGTTGAGATACAGTTAGATGGACAGTCAGAAAGATGGGCAGGTGGACGGATGAATGGGTTGTTGCTAACTGTGGCCATGACCATCACTAGCCACAGATTATGTGGCCAAAGCTGGGCACACGCCACCAGGTAGGCTGGTTGCAGAACAAAAAGGCTCTGCTGTTTCAGACATCCCAACCCCTTAATCCTGGGACTGTCGACAGGCACTATACTAGAGGGATGAAAACTGCAGCAACCTCTGAAAAACAAACAAAAAGAGGTAACTGTAATTGTTAGTATTCACAGCCACGAAGAAAAAGGTTTACCAACCTTCTCTCCCACTCTTTCCTGTCTTTGAATTTGTTCATGTGCTTTCCTGGTATCCTGTCAGATTGCAAGCCATGTTAAAAACATCACTTCCACCTTCCTTTTATTCAGTTGGATCTTTCTGCCATCCCAAATAAAAGCAGTAAATCCCTTTAGACAAAAGAGAGACACTGAAATGAACAGCCAGTGCTCTTATCCCTGCTTTTGCCTAGCATACCTGACTCATGAGGATTTACTCCCACACAGGCCAGGATTTGTACAGTTAGCAGTCCACACAGGTGACCATGGCAGAAGGTCAGGGCAGTGCAGTTTAGGGAATGGATCTGTGAATAATTCCAACTCCAGGACTCACTTTTCTAAATCTCACCTGCACCTGCTCTGGCTCGTTTTCTCTTGGAGCTGGCCAGGTTAATCCTGTTCCCAGTCATCCTCCTTCAAGATCTTTAGGAGTCCCTGTAGCTAAAGAGGGGTTCAGGATAAACTCAGGAGTGAGAACCAAGACCAGTGTTGGAGGGATGGAACAACAGTGGCTCTGAGAGACTGAGAGCAGGTTCCACATGACACAGCAGCCTCCTCCCCCCTCGGCACTGGCTCTCTCTGTTCTACCACTCACTTCTGTCCATAAGTACTTACACTTCCCCACATACTCACACTCACCAATCCTCTCCCATACTCACATCATCCTACATTTGCCCACACTTCCATTCACCCCTCCACACCAACTGTGAACTATCAAGGTAAACAAAGTTGATATTTCTTGAAGCATGGCATGCACAAAACACTTATTCCTGCAAAATGACTATTCTCTTTACCAAACAACCATCACTGCATATGAGGATTCTATTTCTGAGATAATACACACACCTCATTTTTTACAATTCCAGAATAAAAAAGAAACTAGGATAAAATGGCTTCTTTATTAAAGAAACATGCCGGCTAAAAACCACAGGGGAAAAAATAATGCAAATATACCAGCTTAATTAAACTAAGCTCCAGTCCTGACTTTAAACATTACAAATAGTGAGATATAAATGCATTTTTACAGATATGTAAAGTAAATTCATTTTAACTCATACCCAAGTGTATCTCCCCAAGGACGAACGCAAAACTGATTTCATTAGCAAGCAGCATTATAGTCAGTTCCCATGCCCTCCCATCTCCCTGTCAGGACCAGCAGTGCATGCTTTTAAAACTGAGTACAGGATACAGACAGGGAAAACGGACTCTCGGCCATGGACATGAATAGGCCCAGAGCCACAGCCAGCATCCTCATGGATATCTGTCCTTAGAGGCAAGATCCTGGGCTGGGGTCTTTTTTAAAAGTAGCTTCTGATACCTCGATTGTACATGGAAAAAATGTAAATCAACATAGTAAAATCTCTTTTCGAATAAAGAAAGCAAACCCATAGGGAAGGAGGGAGCGAGATGGGGACCAGGTTGGTTCATGAAAATCCCTAGCAACAGGTGGAAAAATGGAGTGGGGAGGCCAGGAAGGGCAAGAACGCCTGCACAGAGTAAAGGCATTAATGGTCTACAGCATGGAAAAGCTGGGACAAGCAATGAAGGTTACCATCAAATATTCAGTCTGTTAAAACCAGACAGGGCTCTGGCTTCTGTCTTTAACACTCCACGCCTGAATGAAATGCCTCTCAAAACTTAGCTTAGAATTTCTAAATACAGGGCCCAGCGGCGTGGCCTACCAGCTTAAGTCCTCACCTTGAACGCGCCAGGATCCCATATGGGCGCCAGTTCTAATCCCAGCAGCTCCACTTCCCATCCAGCTCCCTGCTTGCGGCCTGGGAAAGCAGTCGAGGACGGCCCAAGGCCTTGGGACCCTACACCCGCGTGGGAGACCATGAAGAGGTTCCTGGTTCCTGGCTTCAAATCAGCGCAGCACTGGCCGTTGCAGTCACTTGGAGAGTGAATCATCGGATGGAAGATCTTCCTCTCTGTCTCTCCTCCTCTCTGTATATCTGACTTTGTAATCAAAATAAATAAATCTTTTTTTTTTAAAGATTTATTTTATTTTTTATTATTGGAAAGGCAGATATACAGAGAGGTGGAGAGACAGAGAGGAAGATCTTCCATCCGATGATTCACTCCCCAAGTGAGCGCAAAGGCCGATGCTATGCCAGTCCGAAGCCAGGAGCCTCTTCCAGGTCTCCTGCGCAGGTACAGGGTCCCAAAGCTTTGGGCCGTTCCTCGACTGCTTTCCCGGGCCACAGGCAGGGAGCTGGAAGGGAAGCAGGGCTGCCGGGATAGAACCGGCGCCCATATGGGATCCCGGGCGTGCAAGGTGAGGACCTTTAACCAGTGCTCCACCACGCCAGCCCAAAATAAATAAATCTTAAAAAAAAAAAAAAAGAATTTCTAAATACAGCAAAGAGAAATGGTGGTTCTTCATATCTCTGACACAATGAATTAAACGATATTCATATAAGCCAACAAAAAACCTGCTTCTCAGATGCTGATGCTATCTTCAGACTCAATCACTAACAAGTTTTGAAACTTTGACAGTAGATTACTTAGAACTTGGGAGTAAAGAGGTGGGGGAATGAACCCTGCCACTAATCTGGACATGGCTACATTTTTGTGTTCTTTGACAATAACTAACTATGCCTACTAGACTTCCCACAAGAAATGCACAGCATGTTGAACTCTTGCCAGATTAATCAAGATGATTTTAAAAGGTCCAAACAAGAATTTCCTACAATAAATATCCTATCACATTTAATATCTCAAAGCAGGAAATTTGGAAGAAAGCACGCTGTTGGGTGCCAAAATAGAGATTACAGAAGCCCAGTCCAAGCTCTCCCACCCTCTACTCCATTCACTCCCTGTGGCCTCCCATGGAACAAACGCTGGTCTAAGTGCAAGTGACCAAGATGCCAAGACTCTCAGAGGACATGACCATGATGCAGGCCTGGCTGCTGGTCGTCCCCGCAATGGCTCACCATTAGACGTGGTGCTGGAGGCCGCAGCCTTCTCGCTGACATCTGTCCGAGCGGAGCATTTCACGATGGAATTCTCAGCCTTCTTCTCAGTGCTCGTGGAGCTGTGCGACTGGGCCTCCATGCTGTCTTCTCATTACTTCTGCACTCTCTCTACCAGGAATGCCTGCAACACACCAACAGCACCATCAGCTTCCTGCAGTGGTGGGACAGGAAACCGTGCAGAGGTGGCCCACTCACTGCTCACCCCAGAGGAGGTCCACACTTGACAAATTCAAAATATGGATGGCACAGGCAACACCAGTAAAACTTCCAAAGCTGGAGATTTTTAATTTTTATATTAAAAAATAAATAAATAAATAAAAGACACATTCATCCACTGCTTCATTTCCCCAAATGTCAACAACACCCGGGAATGAGCAAGGGCAGAGTCACAAGCCAGGAACTCAACCTTGGTCTCCCACGCGGGAGACCCAAGCGCCTGCGTGATCATCTGCTGCCTCCTGGGGGCCTCTGTGGAGAGATGGACCAGAAGGACCTAGTGGCCAGGACTCCAGCTAGCACCTCCACACAGGAGGCAGGCATCCCAAGCAGCGGCCCAACCCGCTTCATCATAGCACCTGCCCTGAGGTTTTTAAATCATTAACCGCAAGTTTTAAAGAGTGTTCAGCAATCTCTTATCTCCAGCCCTAAAGGCACAGAATTTTACTTTTTCTGACTAAAATACCTCAATTCAAATATGTCCCTTAGTCCTGACTGCTTCAGGTTAACAATACTCCTTACACTTTCCTAAGACACAAAAACATTTTAATTCATTTGAATTACATTTCTCAAAGGTAACAGAGCAACATGGTTTTGATCTCTCAAGGAAAATGAAAAATCACTGGTAGCAAATACTGTGATGACTTAGAAAACCATAAAACTCAACTAAAGGCAAGTTCCATTTGTCTTTCTTTTCACTAACTTCATCCACATGATGACTGCCCTAACTCATCCTTCACCAAGTTTCAGTCTATGTGGTTCATGTTCTTTTTTGCAGTCATAGTTCCACACCCACAAAAGAACACAAAAGAAGATGAAAATACCTTCTCTACCATGTTTTTTTTCAAGCTTTAGATGGCGACACTCACGGTGGATATTTCTTTGGTCTAATCATCTCTTCATTTTTCTACATTTAACTGATGTCACCACTATGGTCAATCAAAACTGTGATCAATGAAATTGAAAAAAAAAAAAAGCAAACTGCTGAACCAAAAAAAGTAAACATTTCAGCTGAAATAATTTTAGTTATTTCCAGCTCACATTTGCAAAGGCACCATGAAGTCTTTGTTGTAGGATGATTTCCCCTTGATCTGGGATTCGAGTGACTAGAAAGCTTAAGAACCAAAGGCCACATGGCAACGGAGCACTAACTCTTCCACTAAATTCCATTTCTTTTCCGAGATTATCTAGTGTCATTCACTGTAAAAACACACAAGTTATTTAAGAACAGCTTTGGTAGAACAGAATAGAAAAAAAGAAGTACTAAGTAAAATTTACATATCAATAGTGGGATCCACTCCAAATTCAGAAATATCTCTCGAACAGCATGTAGCAAGCGCGACAAACAGAGAAGAGTTCTGCAGACTTTCCCTGCGTCCTGGAGCTGCTGGAGCTGCCCAGCCCTCGACCTGCTGCTGAGCTCAGGTGCCTCGGGTATGATTGAGCCACCTTCCTTGAGGGTGTGAAGGAAAACACCTTTTTGAAGAACATGTCTAAAGTTAAAGAAGCTCAAAAAAGGCCCTTGAACACAAAAGCACATATTTCCTTTTCCAGGCTCACAACCTTGCAAGCTTTTCCAAGAATCAGGATAAAGAATCCTCAAAGAGAAATATCCCATCATCTCTTCCAGATTTAATAATCTGAGAATGCTTCTTCAACTGTTTCCAATGATCCATCAAAATGATGTCAATACCATTTTAAAGGTCTGCCACGAGAACAATTCGACCCAGTGCACACTGGCTTCCCAGGGGAGCACAGGAACCCTTCTCATAAGCTGTTGTTTCAATGCTTGCTACACATTCATGTTTAGGTCTTTTTCTTTGAGAGTAGCCCCAGCCACCCCTATTGTAACCAGCACTACTGAGGGGCTATCCAAAGCTTCTGAGCAAACAGCTCTACACGTTTGCTTTTGTCTATGCTACTATAAAGCCCATGCAGCAGGTACTCAGTGAAGTGTTTGCAGACTGGATCAACTAATGAATGAACTGCACCCGGGAGTACCAAATTCCAACAGATCACACCAACCCATTCCAGCACAGGTCACACTGACAGTGAACCCTCCATCTGGGAAAGTCTTTGCTGGACTGTCCATCTCTGCCCCACTCCCAAATGGTCATCTCCCTAAGGACAGGGCTTCCCCCCTCCCAGCCACCTGGGACACACAAGGATGTTTACTGAGTAAATAAATGAGCACACTAATGACCCTGTGACTTAAATAATCTGAATGAGCTACAATTTCCTTTTATATCCAGTGCTTCCTTGAAACCTGGCACATTATATAAAAACTAAAAGATACTCATAAGAATATTTAATTAATCCAATAATAAAGCAGCACTCACCATACCATAACTGTTTCCTTCAAAATACACCTCCAGGGCAGCCCACTAAGACACAGATTAAGATTACCAGTTCAGGGCCCTGCTAGGTGGCGCATGTGGTTAAGGTCCTCGCCTTGCACGCCCGGGATCCCATATGGGCGCCGGTTCTAATCCCGGCAGCCCCGCTTCCCTTCCAGCTCCCTGCCTGTGGCCTGGGAAAGCAGTCAAGGACGGCCCAAAGCTTTGGGACCCTGCACCCGCGTGGGAGACCTGGAAGAGGCTCCTGGCTTCGGACTGGCATAGTATCGGCCCGTTGCGCTCACTTGGGGAGTGAACCATCGGATGGAAGATCTTCCTCTCTGTCTCTCCTCTCTGTATATCCGCCTTTCCAATGAAAAAATAATAAAAAATAAATCTTTAAAAAAAAAAAAAAGATTACCAGTTCAATCTGGTTAGAGTCCCACAGTAGAGTTCTTGGATTCTATACCTGGCCCCAGCTCCCAACTCCAGCCTCCTCTGGTGATGGCTCAAGGGACCGGGTTCCTGCAACCCCAATGGAAGACCTGGACTGAGTCCCCATACTCCCAGCCTATCAGGGCAGTATCAGGGCATCTGTGGAGTAACCCAGCAGATGGGAATGTGTGCTCTGCCTCTCTCCTCTCTTGCTCTTATTCTCTCTGCCTCTCAAATAAATAAATGAAAGTTAAATACAGTTGTATCGGCTGAATTTGGCCAAAGAACCTACTAAGCCAAAACTACACAGGGAAACAGAGCAGTGGATGAGACAGCAGACGGAGATGACGGATGCCTGGTGAGTGGCAAGCCTCTCCCAAAGCAGAGAGCTAATTAACAGCAGTCAGGAAAGAAGTCACCCAAAAGCTTTGACAAACTTGGTTCTGGGGAGTTGTTGGGTTTTCCCCCAAGGCAAAGGACTTCATTTTAACAAAGCAGTGAAACTCCCCCATATTCCTCACCAGAATGAGAGGCTGCAGTAAGAAGAGGTAAGGCTCCAGGCACTGCCTGCAATCACACTAATTAATGGTCTTGGGGAGGATGAATTCCTATTCTCGCCCACTCCACCCCTGATTTGAAATGGATTTAAAAAATGAAAAAACAAAAAACAGGACCTTGGTCACTCAAGACTCTACTTCTTTCCATTATTTTGACAACTTATTTTTGGATCTCATTAGTTAGTAACTAATTATTTAAAAGTGTAGTTCTTGGTTGGAAAGGCCTATAAAAAATGGCAACTTGCCAAAGCAGACATCTGCTTCTTGTATATCGCTGTAAATGATTTTTGGCTGATTTTACTGATACAAATATACTCGTGTCACCGTCAAGTTATAAAGAAGGTTTTGGTGTTTTAGACACATGTGCACCCTGAAACCACTCAAGAAGAAACAGGGAATAGCGAAGGGCGTTTGTCTCCAGCAGTGCAAGTAGGTTTGCCATGGAATATAAGGAGGTTGATTGGCCAATCCTCCCCCTTCAAATGTCAGGATCCCAGATGAGTGCTGGTTCTAATCCCGGCTGCTCCACTTCCCAGCCAGATCCCTGCTTGTGGCCTGGGAAAGCAGAGGGTGGCCCAAAGCCTTGGGATCCTGCCCAGGTGTGGGAGATCCAGAAAAAGCTTCAGGTGCCTAGCTTTCAGATAGGCTCAGCTGTGGCTATTGTGGCCACCTGGGGAGTTTGAATAAGCCGATGGAGGAGCCTTTTACTGTCTCTCCTCTCCGTAAATCTGCCTTTCCAATAAAAAATTAAAATAATACTTAAAAAAAAAAAAGGTTGCATCAGGCTAGAGAAGTGACCTGTAAGATTCACGGTCAGATCCTAAGCCATAGCTGGGGAAGGAGCTCCCTGGCACTGCATTTAAAATCTGGAGTTTTGTAATCAAGCACAATTTATGTGGAACCTAAGTATCAAGGAAAACTCCTGAAGTTCTGCTCCACTTCAAAGATTTATTTTTTCCCCCAAGAAAAACATGCCACTGTTTTCAGATGTCTGACTTTCCCTGTATAGCTTTTTCCTTGCGCTTTAGACCCCTTTCGCCCATGAAACATCGCATGCAAGATTTGCTGGCATGCACCCTTGACTGTTCATGCTTGGGGATGTTTTCTACCTGAGCCAGAGTCCCAGCAGCCAGAAGGGGTGCAGAGGGAGGGGAATACCACTGCAATCAAGGAAAAGTGGTCAGAACACGTGCCTGTCTGCACTTTCAGAGGTGAGAGGCGGAATGCACACTCCTCCCCAAGGCCCAACAGTGGAGCCTTCTTCCTAGTCAACTACCTCCGAGCCTTTTGTCATTTCGCTGAGGCCTCCACCAAGGGTGTGACTAATCCCAGAGCCCCTCCCCCTTAAAAGAATCTAATCCTCCTCCAGCAGCAGCCTGCCTGCAAGTGGGTCTTTTCTTGCTCCATTGTGCATTTGTACCTGCCTCATCCTCCCACAACACGAACCATTCAAAGTTGCCCCGGCTTCCTGCCCAGGTGATGCTGGAGTGCACATCTGGGTTTGAAAGGAAAGAAAAAAACCGCCACGTGAACCAAACTGAAAGAGACCCGTGGGGAAATGCATTTTAAATAGCACT